AAATCAAATGTTGACATCCAAAAGTTAAAAAAATAAAAAATAAAAATCAAGCCATCAAATTGGATCAATAAAATCTGATGGCAAATTTATATATACTGCAGAATTTGGGGAAAAACCTGAACATCTGGACTAAAGCAGATAAAGCAGATTTTGTTCTGCTGGTCACATGAGCAAGATCTGCTTTGCAACAACCCCCCCTACATTTCTGACTGATCTATCAAACATTGCTGGTATTGATCACATTTTTTGGAAAGTTCATAGAACTCAAATTGAGGGTTTTACCATTATGAAACAAACTTGATTTCTAAGGTGTATTCATTCAATAGAAAACTGAGGTTCACCTGATTTTAGGTTCATTCATATCTAATCAATATTATTCTTTGATGTATAACCACACCCTCTACTGGCCAATGACATTAACAAAAAATAAGATTTAGTTCAAAGGTTTGTAGAATTTATTACAATTCCACGATCATAAACAAAAAGCAGCAATTACAGAAATATGTACAAGTCTATTATTCTTTTAAAATACTTGTGACAAGTTTCAGGTACCAGCTTCAGTCTCTGTAATGCTGCTTAAAGTCCAGAACTCTCCCACACCATTTCTCTTTTCTACACTTGTCAACACACACACATCAATTCTCCACCGGAGCCTCTGACGGCCACAGGTCATGAGAATGGATTCTCCTGACATAGTAAAAACTAGCGCCACCTGGAGGAAGGGAGTCATGTCAAGCTCCAGTGGTGCTATAAAAATCCAGAAAACCGATGACGTGTGGTTCCTCCGGTGAGCTTGGCGCTCTCGCCCCGTGTCCTTTTGCCATAGTGTTTGTATCCAGGTGTTGACAGGAGTGTGTGGGCGCAGCAGTGCTTTTAAGACTTGGTGATGGGGGTAGAGGGGCAGCTGGGTAATGGAGTCTGAAGCAGTTAACACTGTATACTCTGGCAAGGGGAAAAAGTGGGTTGTGAACGTAGCACCAGGTGCTGTAACTGTAAAGTATAAGTATAATGCACATTAAGAGCAGAGGAACATCACTGAACAGAGCTGAGGCTACTTTTAACTAACACTGAAGACATTTGTTGCTAACAGTACATCGTCATCATACTTTAGATTCTATTTGTAGTTTTGTAAAGGCTTTGAAGGAATTATGGGATGTCAGAGGAAGAAAATGCTTCAACACTGTGACTGACAGCATGTGTGTGCACTAACATGAGGATTAAGTTCTTATTTTGGCTGTGTTTGGTTATTGCTTTGGGACATGTACTGTAACGGTTACCCATGAGTGACTCCTCATGGCTTTCTGAAGGTGTAAGTGTGGGATTGGGGCAGGTGACCGCACCAGTGGGGTTCCTCCTCAGGCTCTGACCAGGTCCTGCTTGGTCGGCACACGGAGGCCGCGTGGGATGCTACTGCAGGGAGTGCATGAAGCTGTCCAGGTTGTACTCCGTGTCGTACTGCTGCTGGTCCCATAGCTCTCCCAGGCCGTCCAGCACAGACTTCATGGAGGTCTTCCCTGAGGTCGACGGCACCTGCTCACCCTTCTCTCCCTTCTCATCCTGAAACACATTTATAAACACAGAAGTTCAGCCAAACTTGATGTCACTTAAAAACCATGCGAGCTGGAATATGTAGGAATGTGAGCTCACAGGCTTGTGTAAGATCATCTTTTTCTAGACCCAGAAAAGATATTTTGTCAGATGAAAATAGCACTTTCAGTCCAGGGAGTCCATTATCTGGATAATGACATACAATTATCTGACTCCTATCTATATTTATAGCCAATAAAAGCCAGTGAGAGGCTTGTGTTTGACACATTGCACAGTGAAGTTCAATAAACCTGGATCATTCCGGTCACTTCAACCCTGATGTCCTGACTCGTGTCTTGTGTTGTGTGTAGCAGATGAACTACATGCACTTGTTTAAATACCTGCCTCATAAACTCTAAAGCGATTCAACAAACAAAAAGTAAATGTTAGTACTGTTCAAGTCAGGTCAGCCAGAGAGTGAGGAGGGAGGACAGGAGACTAACACGGTAAAAGACGATTGGACCTTTATTGTGTGTCTGTCCTGATCCTGGAGCAGCCGTGGTCCTAATTATGCAGTGGTGGGACACTGCTGAAAAATTAACGTAGCGGAAAACGTGAATTGATGTTCTGTCTCTGAATCGATGCAGAGTCGTCCGCATCACATCTAAGAGTCGAGAGATGTCCTCACCTCCACTCATTTTCAAAAGCCTTTAGCACGGCAAAGAAACTAAATAACATTTTGCCCTGTGCTGAAGTTGAAGTTAAGACTTTTGAAAACCATAATGAATGACATTTAAGACCTGTCAAGTGCAACCGACCGGAATATCACAGGCCCAGAATTGTTTGCACTTCCCCATAATTGAAGATAAGATGAAGTAGCAGAGTAGATAAAAAACCCTACAGGAAGAGATGACATCCTTTGTCCTACCCACAGCCAAGCCAAGTGAACCGAGCTAAATTCTGACCAGGGTGTTTGCAGTTATCAGTTCAATGTTGGTCATCTTTGTAAATTTATCATAAACTCATGACGAGAACGCACCGGGTTTTTTTGTGACATCTGTCCAGTCTTCATATCTGACACAAAAACACCCGCAGGTCTCACCTTGTCCAGAGTGAAGAGGTTGAGTAGCTGGTCTGTGCCCATGCTCTGCAAGCTGGCGTTTTCCTGGCTGATGATGGTGTTGGCGATGCTCATCTTAAATTTCTGCAGACCCATAATCTTCTCCTCCAGAGTTCCCCGAGTGATGAGCCTGTACACGTTCACGACCCGTTTCTGCAAAAACAAACACAATGTACTGAGAAGAGTGGGACAGTCTGCCTCCCTGTCAGTTTCATTTGGTTCACTTCGTATGGCTGGTTTCAGACACGAGCAGCGATGTGGCACAATCCAACACTGTTTAAAGATCGTGTTTAATAATGTAGCAAGGAAACCCTGGTTAACAAGTCGCTTCCTGCTGTGCAGCTGCGGAAGCATCTTGGATTCTGGATCACCTTTGTGCAATTCAAATTCAAAAAATTTCCACATGCTGTGCAGAAACACAGCCCGTACTGTTAATGTTCAACAATAGTGATCAATGTGTTGTGTAACCTGTATTTGCTACATGTGTCTACCTGTCCTATCCTATGTGCGCGGTCCATGGCCTGCAGGTCCCTCATGGGGTTCCAGTCGTGTTCTACAAACACCACAGTGTCAGCTCCTGTCAGGTTCAGACCAAGACCACCAACATGGGTGGTCAGGAGCAGCACGTCAATGGAAGGGTCATTGTTAAACCTGAGGGGAGAAAAAGGGGCAGGGGAGGAGAATTGAACTTAAGTTCACACTCACAATAAAAGGCAACAGACTGTGGAATTCAATCCACTGACCTGGAAACGATGGAGTGGCGCAGGCCGGCCTGCACGCTGCCGTCCAGCCTCAGGTAGGTGATTGTCGGCAGTTTGGGTTTCAGCAGGTCGTGCTCCACAATGTCCAGCATGCTCTTCAGCTGACAGAAAATGAGCACACGATGCTGGGCCACCACCGCTTCAGTGCCCCCCTCTGTTCCTCCTCCACAACCGAGGCCACAGTCCAACAACAACTGAAGAGGAGTGACGAGAGTTGATCAGCAAACAATGATTGGTCAGGAATGTCTCCGCATGGGTTTGATTTCACATGATTTAACGCACCCATGCACATTATTCCACCTCATCACCAGGAAATGTGTTTAGTCTAAGTTACTTGCTAATGTAAAAACTTCCCTGCACATTACCTGTCTGAGAGCAGAGAGTTTGGGTGCATGCTGAATGTCCCGGAGGCTGGAGTTTTGATCCGTCAACTGCTCAGTGATACGTTTGTATTCTGGATGCTGAGGCGTCAAGACCAGGCTGGGGTGGTTACACAGCTTCCGCAGGTACTGCAGAGCCTGAAACATGTAGACAAGCAGGATAATATAACTGCATGGTCAAAAGGAGACATATTTTAGCAATGGGCTTATAGTTACTATTAACAATGAATGTTTTGATGAACTGTACTTCTCTGTAAAGTGTAACTTTTACCCCAAAACCTACTTTATGCTGGAGCTTGTCTGAGAAAAAACTGCACTTAACATAACAAAACGGCAACCCAATGGCCTTTTGGTGTCTAGTTCCATTTTTTTTTTTTTTTTTTTTTT